ATGATTTTTTTTCGGATTTTTCGAGAATTTTTGAGTTCTGTGTTTATTTTTACCATAACTTCGTTAATAATTGTGATAAATGCCTGCTTTTTTCACGATTATGTAGCTAAGACCTAAGGCTTAACTATCATATAATCATTCAAGTCATGTAACTAATACTACTTTTTAATTTTTTTCAAAATCTTCGAACATAACAAAAAAGTAAAAAAGTGCAACAACTTTGAACGTTTATAAAAAATTGAAAAAACATGTTCTTACTATTCGTAAGTATCTTAAAAATTTCCTTACGGTATCAGCTATTTACCGTAAAAATTTCATCAACCTAGCTTTACTACATGCTACCGTAATTGTGGCTCAAATAGAACCGAACCCAAAATTGGATAACCCTCTGCTCAATAGAAATTGTTAGTTTCGGAAAAAAAATTTGCAAAAACCACAAAAACACGTTTGATTTTTACTGAACAGCAGATTATTATTCATTTATGTTATTTACAAGAGGTTTTCAAAATGTCTGCCTCTAACAGAAATGCACAGTGTACACCTACGTATGAAATTTTGTTTTAAATCTCTAAATGCTTGTGTGTTGTTTTTCAACACATGTGTCGCTTCTTGAATTTTGTTCCTCAATGAATTTTCATTTGCACATTCTTGGGCGAATGTTATGTCTTTAAAATATCCCCAAACAAAAAAATCAATGGGGTTGAGGTCAGGGGAGCGTGGAAGCCACCGTATCGGTCCGTTTCGTCCGATCCATCTGTCTGGGAACCTTTCGTTTAAGTAGTTTCGCACGATCGTTGCGTTGTGGCATGGTGCACCATCATTCTGGAACACCATGTTCCGTCTGGCTTCCAGGCTTGAATCTTTCAGCAATAATGGTAGGCTATTTTCAAGGAAGCTTTTGTAGGCTACCGAATCCAACCTTGACGGCAGTTCAAATGGACCGATAAATTCCATATTGAATATTCCTGACCACATGTTCACACTAAAACGGTGTTGAAATGTCGACGGCCTTGAGTGGTGGGGGTTTTCAACAGCCCAAGTATGTAAATTATGGATATTGAATATCCCTGTTCTTTCAAAACGTGACTCGTCAGTCCATAAAATTTTATCAAAAAAATCGGGATCCTCTCGTTGTCTTCGCAGCATTGTCTCGCAGAAATCCACTCTTAACTGGTAATCTGAAGGCATCAACGGTTGAACTCTTTGAACATGATAGGCATGATAACCTTCTTCATGAAGAATATTTTGTATCGATGTTCGTGGTATTCTAAGGTTTTGTGCCATAGATCTCGTACTCGTTGAGGGATTCCGGCTAATTTCATCAAGTACTACTTCTCTGCGATCCGGATCAGCTGTAGGATATCCTTCATTGCTTCCTCGTCCTGGAATGCGGCCTGCCATGAAAGTGTTATGTGTGTTAATAAAAACACGGTGGTCTGGGTAATGCTCAGGTTGTGGTCCGCCTCGGCGTATAAGTTGTTCCCGGTACAGCAAAATTGAAGCTTCCGCCTTTTGTTGGGTACTTCGACAAAATTTAAGCAAAGAGGACTCTTTATACTTTTTTTAATTCTCTCTAGCTTTCAATGGACTTTGCCATCATCATCAGGAGCTGCAATTACAATGATAACAGTAGCAACAATAGTGTAAAATGAATTTAAATTGACTTAACTTACAGTAGTATGTGAGGATGTTGCTAATTGTTGTTTACGTTCAGGATGAGGGAAACGCCCAGTAACATGGTGAAAGCTGGATAGATGGTACAATGGTCAAAATTATATAAAATACACACAAATGTGTCAAGAACAAGTTAAAAACAGATTAAAAATTTTTTAGAACATGAAAGTATTACATCGTGAAGTCACTTGATGATTGCACAAAATGGTGGTCATGGAATAATGAGTGAGATGAACCCTTTGACAGAAGACCGAAGGTTGTCAATATCTGTGTAGAAAGATGGAACGAATTGTGGGCGTGTGCTAACATTGCCAAATCACTTCAGATGATGTGATTTTCAGAATGTTATGTAAGAAATTGTTAAACACCCAGAGGCAGTTGAATTAACTATATTTTAATTAATGGAAAATTTAAATTAACAATTATTATTAAATCGTGAGGAGAAAATTATTAGAATTTGAGTGGAATGAAGTTTATTGGTGGAATCGACCAAGAAACAGATTCCATTTATGGTTGTGAAGAGTCAAAATTTGAGGAGATATGTAAGTTCTCCAATTTTTCGCAGTTTAGCAAATATGAGTAAATGACACTCAGTTGCTTAACATCTGTCTTTTTGTTGATACAGTTGTTATTCATGAAGATGTGGGACATTTCCAGGAATAAACGTTTGGATAGGTGTTTTTTCTTTATCAAGAACTTTGATACTTGTGTAATTCATAGAGTGCCCTGTTGTGTTAACATGAGATGCTAGAGCGCATCTTTCAGGATGAAGCCTAGAATCACTTTTGTGTGATGTAATCCTTCCTTTAAGAGATCTGGAGGTCTGACCACTGATCTCACTCATTATTCCATGACCACCATTTTGTGCAATCATCAAGTGGCTTCACGATGTAATGCTTTCATGTTCAAAAAAATTTTTAATCTGTTTTTAACTTGTTCTTGTCACACATTTGTGTGTATTTTATATAATTTTGACCATTGTACCATCTATCCAGCTTTCACCATGTTACTGGGCGTTTCCCTCATCCTGAACGTAAACAACAATTAGCAACATCCTCACATACTACTGTAAGTTAAGTCAATTTAAATTCATTTTACACTATTGTTGCTACTGTTATCATTGTAATTGCAGCTCCTGATGATGATGGCAAAGTCCATTGGAAGCTAGAGAGAATTAAAAAAAGTATAAAGAGTCCTCTTTGCTTAAATTTTGTCGAAGTACCCAACAAAAGGCGGAAGCTTTAATTTTTCACCTAACTGGTCTAGACGACAATGACCACGTCTCAAGTTATATATGTATATATATAATAACAAAGTTAACCATTTAATGTCATTTCAGGGTACCTATGTAAGTGTCTTCAAGATGCGGATGTTTTGCAATCGTATTCGAACCGTTTTCCTGGATGCTTCTACTTGTGTTATGTGCCGGGTAGGTTCATCATAACGCTGTTTGTAAGAACATTCGTGGTGGGCGCAATCTATATCTAGACAGATCCTGCTGATGCCAATTTTCAATGGAGTTAAAAAGCCTGTGTTTTACTTCCCATGCCGGTTGGCAGTCTGTCGGTCTGTCCTCTAATCTTTAGACTGCCTACAACTTGGAAATTACTGCTTAGATTTGAATGAAAGTTCAAGACAACATTGCTGCTATGCCAAGGATGGAAAAGCTGGTAAGCAATTAAAAATTGGTCTAGTAGCGGCAGAGAAAAATTCTAAACATGAAAAAATTGTTTTTTTTGGTGTCCTGTTTACTTTTGAAAAATTAATCAGAGGTAGTACAGGGGCGAATTTTTTATTTATATCAATATGTCGTATAAGGCGAATATCAATATAGGGGTATTATCTGATTTGTACTTTATTCACCGAATCTTAAACAATCAAATTGATTGTTTTTACCTTTTGTCTGAAATCAATATATACGTACCGCCAAGGGTAAACCAGAGGCACTGTAGGTACTTCAATAACCCGTTTTGCAGAACAAATGTTGGATTAAACTCTCCGCTAATACGAATGCAAAGAAATCTCACTACCTATGGTGCATTTTTTGATATTTTTGTTTGCCAATTCTTAAACTTTAAATACCTATTAAAGAACAAGATGTTGACTACTCCCTTGTAAACGATGCTACTGTTCTTTAACTTTCTTCTTTGCATCCTTATTGCTAAATTGTTCCACATGCATTTAAATCGTTTTATAACAGGAGTTGTAACTTGGTATTCTTTGTAAGCTATGTTGTGGATGTCTTTTTTGGAGAATTTCTCTGTCTGAAATCCCGAAATTCTTAAATAAATAAATAAATACACTCTGAGTCCCAGTAATTCTACTCACCAATTAGACATATTGTACACATCATAGATTTCGCAGTATATTTGCTCTTAAAAACTATTCAGCAAATGGATTGCCTATACGTCGCATATACGATGCGTCGTTTGGTTATTTATAAGCACTGCATCTTTAGTACTCTATCCGAGCCCGCAAACAACGCGGCGACATACGATACTATCTATTTACCATATTATGAGCGTTATGCAAAGGCATGGGGTTCCGTGTTCGGATACACTCATTGTAGCAATCTGAGGAAACCTTTTTTTATAAAAAGCTCAAATCGTGCATTACTGGTACTAATAAAACCTACATCATTTTGATGTCATTGTACCACACATATACTAAGTGACATATAAATCCGAACAACCGGTTTAAATGGTTTTATTTTAATAAAAGTTGGTGAATGTATTTATCTTACTGTATATAACAAGTGAAAAAATTTTCAGCCTTATCAGTTGGACATTCCGGTTTTTATACTGCTTTTTTTTAATTCACTAACGCTCTAAAAATGAATATTTCAGCCGCAGTAAAGAATCAACGTTGGCGGATTTTGGTTCTTGAATCCTTTACGATCGGTTACGATGCCTAGAGTACGGAGACCTGTACGATTTCGTCAACTTAGTGAGTTTGATAGGGGCCGTATAGTGGGACTTCGGGAAGCTGGACTTTATTTTCGGGCAATTGCAGTTAGAGTGCAAAGAAGTGTAGACACTGTGGTTAGGTGTTGTCAGGCATCGCTTCTAGAAGGCCGTACGCAAAGAGCAAAGGGCACTGGACGCCGCCGTAGAACAACAGACCGTGAAGATCGCCGCCTAAGATTATTGGCCTTAAGGGACCGTTTCTCCACTACCAGGTCCATTGCAAATGAATGGTTTGCAGAACACGGAAGACCTATTGGCATGCGAAGTGTTTACCGACTAATCAGAAGTTTTGGCTTGTTTTCATACCGGCCACACTGGGTCCTCCCTTTAACTCGAGAACACCGACGTAATCGCCTTGAGTGGTGCAGACAACGGTCACTCTGGGACCAGGAATGGAACAGTGTTGTCTTTAGTGACGAGTCTCGATTTTGTTTAGACATGCACGATGGTCGTGCCAGGGTTAGAAGGCGACGTGATGAAAGGAGGAATCCACAGTTTTTTGTTGAAAGACATGTCCATCACACTGTTGGAGGTATGGTTTGGGGTGCTATAGCTTATGGTTCCAGGTTACCTTTAATCTTCATCAGAGGTAACATGAACGCGCAGCGTTATATCCATGAAGTTCTAGAACCCCATATTTTACCCTATCTTGACACCCTGGCAGATCCAACTTTCCAACAAGATAATGCCCGACCACATGTGCAAGAGTCACAATAGACTTCTTTCAACATAATGATGTCACATTGTTACCATGGCCACCAAGGTCTCCCGACTTACCCCAAATTTAGCACGTGTGGGATATGATGGGTAGGAGATTGCTCAATTTGCAACGTCCTCCTCAGACTCTAGAAGCACTTCGAGAGGAGTTGGTGGTTGCCCGGAATGAGATACCACAGGAGGACATTGACCACCTGATCAGAAGCATGCCTAGGCGCGTTGGAGAATGCGTAGCACATCAGGGTGCATCCACACATTATTAAAGGTCAAAGGGCTTTAAAGCAGTGCAATCATTTTGAAATTTTTATCATTTACTTATTATGCTTCATTAAGTACTTATACAAGGTTTTATTAAAATAAAACCATTTAAACTGGGTGTTCGGATTTATATGTCACTTAGTATAAAATTGTACCAGAAGTTTTTTTCGAAGGCGTGGCAACTATATAGTTAATCTAGTTATTGCCATTTTGATTAGAAGAACGGGGAACACTTCAGACAGGGGTTATACGAAACATGAGACAGGCGGTTATCAAAAGGGTATTGAGTGCCCTTCTTTCATCTTCTTTCTCTTAAATTGCTATCTTGCTATCTTAGCAGTGGCGCACGATATATCATGTTACCCTCTCCATGTGGGTTCTCGATTATATCTTTCAAGTATAGTTTCCGGGAAGGAAAACTACAACTTTCAGAGCACCCTGAATATCAATAGTCGTACACAAACTTCAATTGTATGTATTATATTTTTGCCAATAAGATAGGTTAAACTGCGTGAGATATACGTATTCGACATTAATCCTGTTGCCAAGCTAGATGTTGCTCGCGGAAATGTAGTGGGCGTAGAATATGGCGTAGAGCGTTGGCGTATTGAAAAATTTCAGTAAAATAACTTGCCGAAATCTCTATGCGCCTTTCACTCACGTTTTTCCATGCTTTGTAGGTTTATTACTTTGTGGTTTATTATTATCGAATATTTCTGTTTGCAACTCGACCGAATTGTTAAGATTGGAGTTGTATACAGTAACGATAACAGCAACACACACACACACACACACACACACACCTACACACACACACACACACACACACACACACACACACACAGAGATGTCACATGCGCAGTACCTGAATTTTATTTCTGCGCAGCGTACATAAGAGATAGAGGGAGTGTTGCCCTGCCCTGCACAGCTCTTGCGATTTATTTCCTGCAACTTCATCGTTGACATTTTTGGCTTCACCCCCACTCTTTGAATTCAATCTCATATCTGTAGTCTTCGTGTTCTACTGAATAGCCCCATATATCAATCGAAAGCAGGACAATTGACAGCAGATACCTGCCGTAACTATAAATGATGGAACTAGAACGGCATAATCTTCTATTAATCTGGTTTTGAATCTGAAACCGATGTATGAATCCGCCAGATCACCAGGTGCAGGACGGGCAATGCGTTATTTGCGTGAATGTTTATCTGTGCGCACAAATGAGGGAACGGTTGGGACGTTTATACAGGGTGATTAATAAGCCAGTATAGAAGTGCATCCAGGAATACATAAAATATTACTATGAAAACGGAGACTAAGATGGTCCTTTACTAAGATACCGGATGTTACCAATCTCTACGCCACTGGCGGTACTTATTGGGGATAGAACGTGATCATTTTCGAAATAGCACCGTATTGTGATGATATAGCATCACTACTTTGATGGAGTGACCTAACAAGATACAATTTTCAATGTAAAACTTAGTAATTGCAGTGTACTTTTACAGATAATAATAATAATAGGTAATAATATAAGTTTATTCACGTATACAGTATTACAGTTTATTGAAAATAAATATGCATATATACGCAAATAATCTGGAATAATCCCACAGAAGAATTTAATTCTTGTGCGTGGGAAGACATTTTTTCATAACAATTATTGCTTTAAACATAGTTAAATATACTTAATACATGAATTTAAACACAACATAACCATAAAGGTAAGTGTAATAATATTATATTCAAATACTAATTTATTTTCATTTCAGTAGGTTTTTCTATTTCATTTCGACTCTTATTTAACAAGAATCTTTTTATTTTAATTTTGAATCTATTTTTATTTGAAATGGATTTTATATGGCTTGGTAAAAAGTTATAAAATCTAGTGAAGAGGCAACTGAAGCATTTTTGACCTATATTTTTTGTTGTAAATGGCGTTCTTTTAATATCATCGACTTTACTTTTTGTTTCATATTTGTGGTCCAATGAAATGACGTTTTTTTATTTTTGAATAAAAAGAAAAACATTCTAAAGAAGAGTTGCCAAAGGTCGAGATTATTTCTAGCTTCTTAATTTGGTTGGTGAGATCACCACCCCGAGCTAGTATGGCATAATTTAGGCGACATTCAATAAGTTCATGATATAACATCTTCATTGTTTTATGATCTAGATATTTAGTGAGGTACTTGAATTTAAATATACTAAGTGACATATAAATCCGAACACCCAGTTTAAATGGTTTTATTTTAATAAAATTTTGTATAAGTACTTAATGAAGCATAATAAGTAAATGATAAAAATTTCAAAATGATTGCACTGCTTTAAAGCCCTTTGACCTTTAATAATGTGTGGATGCACCCTGATGTGCTACGCATTCTCCAACGCGCCTAGGCTTCTGATCAGGTGGTCAATGTCCTCCTGTGGTATCTCATTCCAGGCAACCACCAACTCCTCTCGAAATGCTTCTAGAGTCTGAGGAGGACGTTTCAATTTGAGCAATCTCCTACCCATCATATCCCACACGTGCTCAATTGGGGATAAGTCGGGAGATCTTGGTGGTCATGGTAACAATGTGGCATCATTATGTTGAAAGAAGTCTAATGTGACTTTTGCAACATGTGTTCGGGCATTATCTTGTTGGAAAGTTGGATCTGCCAGGGTGTCAAGATAGGGTAAAAGATGGGGTTCTAGAACTTCGTGGATATAACGCTGCGCGTTCATGTTACCTCTGAGGAAGATTAAAGGTGACCTGGAACCATAAGCTATAGCACCCCAAACCATAACTCTAACAGTGTGATGAACATGTCTTTCAACAAAAAAATGTGGATTCCTCCTTTCACCACGTCGCCTTCTAACCCTGGCACGACCATCGTGCATGCCTAAACAAAATCGAGACTCGTCACTAAAGACAATACTGTTCCATTCCTGATCCCAGAGTCACCGTTGTCTGCACCACTCAAGGCGATTACGTCGGTGTTCTCGAGTTAAAGGGAGGACCCAGTGTGGCCGGTATGAAAACAAGCCAAAACTTCTCATTCGTCGGTAAACACTTCGCATGCCAATAGGTCTTCCGTGTTCTGCAAACCATTCGTTTGCAATGGACCTGGTAGTGGAGAAACGGTACCCTAAGGCCAATAATCTTAGGCGGCGATCTTCACGGTCTGTTGTTCTACGGCGGCGTCCAGCGCCCCTTGCTCTTTGCGTACGGCCTTCTCGAAGCCACGCCTGACAACACCTAACCACAGTGTCTACACTTCTTTGCACTCTAACTGCAATGGCCCGAAAAGAAAGTCCAGCTTTCCGAAGTCCCACTATACGGCCCCTATCAAACTCACTAAGTTGACGAAATCGTACAGGTCTCCGTACTCTAGGCATCTTAACCGATCGTAAAGGATGTCAAGAACCAAAATCCGCCAACGTTGATTCTTTACTGCAGCTGAAATATTCATTTTTAGAGCGTTAGTGAATTAAAAAAAAGCAGTATAAAAACCGGAATGTCCAACTGATAAGGCTGAACATTTTTTCACTTGTTATTTACAGTAAGATAAATACATTCACCAACTTTTATTAAAATAAAACCATTCAAACTGGGTGTTCGGATTTATATGTCACTTAGTATAATAATCGTCTTAAATTATTTACTGTATGATCAACATGGAAACTCTACTTTAAATGAGAATCCAAATGAACATCTAAATATTTGTATTGTCAAATTTAATTTGTAAAAAAGTAACTGACGGTAATTTATTTTTAAGGCTTGTGAACGGCATATACTTGGTTTTCTGAAAATTGATTGCTAGATATTTGAATCTAAACCAATCTGAAATTAAAATAATGTCAGTTTCAACAGTCTCTTTAAGACCCTCTCAGGAATTGTTAAAGTATCGCTGTGTCATATGCAAAACATATTATTCTGCCTTGCGACTTCAATCTAAGTAGGCTATTGATATACATAGTAAAACATAACGGGCCTAAAACTGTCCCTTGTGGTACATCATAAGTCACAGTTTTGTCTTTTATATGTTAATGTATCATCTGAAGCTCTTGTCAAGCTAGAAATTTCCACGTTCTGCTGGCCGCTAAATGAAATCTATCCAATCGAACATACCGGATGTTTCAAATTAAACTCTCACCATTGAATTCGCGGAAAAGGTAAGTAATACGAAGTTATTTAAATAAAGCAACTGGTTTTTTTTTCAAAATCTTTTCTATTTTTTTTGTACTTTATTTGTGATGGGATTTTAAAATATTATTTTATGTAACTGATAGAAGCACTTTGGAGTAAGTGATAGCCTCGATGATGTTGCAACTTCCGAAACTCATTTCATATCCCTTATTATATAAACCGATGCACACATCTTGCATTCAAATATTATTGATTTATGGCCGAGCTGTCATGTGCTAAGATAACGCTTGCTATAGTCATTATATGGGTAAATTATCTAAATGTCAATTGAGTACGCTTTTCAGAACCATTGGTGATTTTTGGAATCAGGAATACGGCGTTTATAAGAAAGAATAAAGCTGATAATGGAGAAACCTCATATTGGAATTGTAATTCTGTAATTTTGTATGGGAGAAAAAGAGGTAGTGTTAATACACTTATTGTTCTGAAATCTCATCTCAGTTAAATCGCATCTGGATGATTATGCGTATTGGTCTGATTGTATATAAAATCAGTGATGTTTGCTGTGTGAGAAAATGACTACTGAATATGCTGCCGATGAAGTATATCCATTAGCTTTGATCGACAGATTATTTATTAGTTGTCCTTTCTGAAAACAGGTTATGTTCAATAAATTACGATTTTGCCCGTTTTTTGTGTTTTGAAAAACTTTGAGGAACACTACAGGAAATTAGCAACGCGCCCGCGTTGTGTGTAATTAAGTCACATCATAGAAAAGTTAGGACGCATCACACATCAAACATTTTTGCAATGCCTCACATCTAGCCGCTGATTTGTATTTTCTATTGATATCGCAAAATAAATTTAAATGACTG